GACGTCTTCGATCAGCACTACTACGATACAGTAGTGTGAGGTACACAGCAATACCGGCACTTGCTACAACGGCGGCTGTAGCTACCTTTCGCCATGGAGATTCCATACCCTCTTCTACCACCATAATTGAGATCACACATGAACGCAACAACCAAGCCTGGTGAAGACCTCAACACATCGAGTCATGTAAACGGCATGTTGCCTTGTATATAGGGAATAACAAGTCAAATAGAGCCAAGCCTTACGAGGAGCCCATCGGCTGATCAGTCGCTGCCCAAATCCTCATCAAGGTCATCTTTTCGGCGTTGTAGGGCTATCAACTGTTGGTGAACAGACACCTTCTCTACTGGGAGAGATATCGGTCATAAACAGCGGCGGGTCAGTCCATAGCACTACCCTTGAGGGTAGTAAGACAGTGCTGTAGACGGGCATTCTCCTTCTTCTGAAGGTGCATCTGCTACCAGACCATGGGAGGTCATGCTAGTCAGCCTTGCCGCCCACCTGAGACTTCACGTCTTCAGCCAAGCGGTGTAGATCTGCCAGTATGGACCTGTGTGCCGGTATAGGCCTGATTGGCCCTCAGATTTATCTACTACCTCTTTACATTCTCCATCCCGTTCTGTAGAGCCGTGACGCAGCTCGGGCCGCACTCTTTACTTCGTGTAAACCACACTTGCCCGCCTCCAACTCATCAGTCGCCACCTAACCAAGCTCGGCTGACTCACGTTGATGTTGACTTCTTTCACGAAGTCACTAGTGACCGAGAGAGCGTGTAAAAAAATATGCGCATGGTCAATCACAGGTGTTGGCCATAATATGAAAACTCGGAGAAAATTTTGGGAATTCTCATAGGTTTTTGCCTACTTCTACCGTGATTGGTAAGAGAAGGGAGCATATATTCCAACACTGCAAAGCGATCCATCGTGAAGTTATCCTATACGACCGAGCATGCGCATTCCACTACTACCTGCAACAAGCTCGCCATATTCTGTACTCTGCCTTTTAGGCCCGTGGCTGTAGTAGAGAAGTCAGCGCAGACTTCTATTATTGTTATGACCAGGAGAAGATCACTGATATTTAAACATGAGCCTCTTTAGTGATGTGCTTAACGAACGGTCTTAAACTCCTTCTGAAACCAGTTTCATTGACATGCTCGGTGTGTTCAACAGACCACTCCTAAGATTCTAGAGCGTTCCAAGGATCAGATTTCACATGCATAACTTGATCCTGGAAAGGCTGTTGAAACTTGGGAGGGGTATATTGAACGCCTCGGTTCTTTCCATATCAGCCAAGAGCCACGGCCAAGTTCAACGATCTCGAATGATGATTCGGGCGCGCGCGGTATCCGAAAGCGGAGCGAAGCGATTCCCGAATGCGCATTTTGAATTTTATCTGCAGACTTCTCTTCAATTTCGTCCACGATCAATCGATACGATATTCACGACGATGCCATGCAAGGGAATCACAGGGGGGACGTTGCTGTAGACGTTGACATGAGTCGTTATCTGGTCAACGCCGTGTTGGAGGACAGTTAGAACTACCATTGACGTGAGAGAATTCTCAGCGACCCGAGCAGTCAGTTGATGGGGTTGAATACGACTCTAGGCAGCCGTATTCTACCGGAGGTATGTTGTGATAAGGCCGTTGTGTGTGTAGCGGTGGATCACACCGTCGGCCCGGATGGTGTTAACTACACCCATCACAGGTGGGTATGGCCTATGGGAAGAAGTACTCTCTCGAAATCAGTGCTCTGTTGAGGGTAGTCTTGTGTACTCAAGACTGCTGTTTCGTACAAGTGGTGGTACTGCACTTTGGTCGTTGTTTCGATGCTGTTGTTGGATGTGATCTACAATAATATCACGAGTGCGATAGTGCGCTTTTGTGAACCAACAGTACATTCTTACCAACGAAGGTATCAACGACACTGAATGAAATCACAAAATTGAATTTGGGAATTTTCTTGAAAATTTTTCTAAGTCCGGCTCTTGTCACGTATTCCAATACTCTGTTGAGCCCATATTCAGTTCATTCATCAATGCCCTGCCCCAACGGCTGTAGTGCCGACACCTGTTGCTGCTTGCCTTGGGAACCTATCCCGATCCATGAAGACGGTCGCGGTATGAGCACGGCAACTGAGCCTTTCCTCATTCGTCAGTGGAAGTCCGTCGGTCCCAGTTCACCCTGGGGGTCCATAAAAGGCTTGTCGCAATTGGCAGGCGATGCTGTGGCCGGTTGTACCGTAGACGGCGTAGACTCCTTTATGTTGGTTAAAGAGGCCCTGGAAGCAATAGAAGCGGGGAAACGAGTGAATATAAAAGGCTGGGAATATGTTGCACAGGGTTGTGATGATGCTGTTCACTTCGACGTCCAAAGTGAATGCTTCCTGGCCAACAACAAATCTCAGCTCGCCAGGAAGCTATCTGAAGTCATGCGTTGGGTATTCGTGGCCACTCCAGGCACAGGCTCGGCCACCCACATAGACCCCCTAGGTACTGCGGCATGCACTTGGCTTACTGTTGGTCGTAAAGAGTGGCGTATGGCCTCTGGTGCCCCCGCTGGTGTCGAGTCCTTGCCATCGTTATTCGATTGTTCATCTGACTTGAGCAGCTATCGTCACCTCTATTACTTCACTATGGAGCCCGGAGATCTCATTTTCATACCGCAGGGATGCCTACATGAGGTTAGGAATTCAACCACTACTATTGAAGTCACCCACAACTTCGTCCTCCAGCCAGCAGCGATGTGGGGTGAAGTCCGGCGAGCATTATCATTAGTGATGGCGTATGGTGCCCTAAGCCCGTTGGAGAACCACCCTAAAGTGGACTCGTTACTCTTTGGTATGCTCATGGCCTGCCTCTATGGGGAAGTTGACATGCCTGAGGAGGTCGCTGTGGAGGCTGAGAAGGCCAGGCAGTGTATTGATTTTACAGAAGACGATGATGATGTTGATAATAATAATAGCTGAGTTTCATACGACAAACTCTTTTGAGTTTTCTTTTCGGAGGCCAGGATGGAAACCAAATGGGATTTCAGTCCGACGATAGTTTCCCATCCATTAACCATGGCATGAGGTCTACTTATCAAGATCGGGCTAGACTAAAGGTGCTGCAACAGGCCCATGCCAGGGAGATGGACATTATCCTCCGCCCGGTGAGGCTACTGTCTCTCCCATCAGCGACCATCCTCGACCTACTCCTCCGTGTTCTCTCTTGCTACTACATTGAGGAGGACTACGAGTAGTTACTGCAAGTGGGTGTAGGATGACTGGTCTTCAGGTCCATACGGAGCTCGCCGCCCTACGCTCAAGCTTTGCTGACTATGCGAGGAGAAGTCATAAATATCTTCCAACACGAGATAAGATACAAATGAGGTCCAGAAGGTAACCATCATCCTACCTGCTGTCCGACCATCTGCTGGTCATAGACGCCGAATTCAACTATCCGACGCCCGTCGAACGCTGAAGGATCGACGGCAAAAATTCCACGGACTGGTCGATGAAGCGAATAGGAAGACCATGACGGCCTATGTGGGTTGGGTTGACCACCTATGATAATAATGACTTTAGGAAGCATACCGTAAATCGGCCGATTCAGCCTTGGAGGTAGCTCTCGACGACGCCCTCATCCGTGCTGATTCACGAGATAGTTCCATGCTCTGTGCCATGCTGAAGAGGCGTACCCAAGGCCTCGAGTCTATCGTAAGTCATAGAGAGATAGGCGTTGGCCGGGGTGCGGTATCTAAGCAGCAATCAATTGTCCTCAGCTATCTCCTCAACATTTTCTGGTCATCTCAGTTAAGGACTAGACTGCCGAAATATGAGGATGTTACCGACATCCCTTATAAGTCTCGAGTGAACAAAGGCACTACTCAACAGCCCCCAGCTGCCGCATTCTGCCAGAGGCTCATTCGAACAAGATCATACAGTAGGTATCCTCCACCACCACCAGTTGTGAATGAAAGCACCGTCATAGGTTCGATCGGCCGTATACCACAGCCCGGCCGCGTCTCGACATGTACGACCCCTCAACCGAGTTTGACGAGAGCTACTACGGTGCCTAAGTAGGATCGTAGTAGCATCTTGGGTGGTGAATGATCCCTATCGCAGCTCTCTGATACCCCGCCCCCTCCGTGAGACTTGTTCCAGTGAGCCAGGGCCTAGGACGGGACGGGATGCCGATATGGCTGAGGTGCCACGCGCCTCTCCTTGGCAGTTGAACGGGTATACCCTCAGGTGATGATAACTGATATCGGCCTGTATGACGAGAGGATGCTCGAGGATCTGCGACGTGGTATTAATTACCTCCCTAAGGGAGAGTCCAGACCGGCTAGTGTCATTTCCGTCGACTATGACACCAATAAGGTCGAGACCAACACTCGGCCGTCAACAAGCTTTCCACTCTATCGCCCTCCGGAAGAATCCCAGGTAGATCTTTAAAGATGCATTTGAGGTCAGCCACCGCAGACCCTTCAGTTGTTGAAGTTCATGAGAAGGAAGCTCGTGGCCGCAGCTGAGTCCCTCGGGATGGGAAATGGTTGGAGAGACTTATTTGTCAAATGCGATACAGATTATTCTGGAGAGCTCAGTCCGGGCGAGATACTCAAGGCAGTTCGTGTCAACCTACGCATACCAACTACTGTCCTCACAGACAAGCAAGTGATGGTGTTCGTCCGGTAAGGGTAGCCTTCCATGGGCTCCTCAGTGGGCAGCCGTTGCATCGTAGACAAATCGATACTAACGAGAATGGTACAGTGAGTTTGAAGGAGTTGATGCAGTTCATGGGAAAGGCAGCCCCTGTGGTGCCGATAGAGACTGCCCTTGAGGATCGCGTTCGACAGGTCGGCAGTTTGGTCCATGCGCTCCTGACACTCGCTGGTCATATCAGGTTCGGCGTCAAGCTCGAGAACAGTTGCATCTCACTATGAGCAGGGTAAGGCGGTATATGAGGGCGGCGAGGGCGACCCATAAGGTGAGCAGCGTAGATGAGATCGACAGTGGTCTCCCAACTGCTGGAATGTATCACATAGAAGGCCACTCGGCATCTCACTCGCCTTATCATAGTATGTATGATGTGCAGTTTCTTCATTTCTCTTTAGTAAGGATGTACTGTTCCTCTTAGTTGACCCTGGAGGGCCTCTTCGGGAAGTACGATAAGGATGGTGACGGTACGTTGTCACTACGAGAGTTCCAGCAAGCCCTACGGGAGGACCTAAAGCTGGACCTTTCGGATGCTAGTGACAAGGTATGCCATGGAGGTATTCAACGGTACAGTGTATGGCAGGACATCGTCGCTGTCTACGCCCTCTTGGACGGTGACGGCACAGGAAGCATCGACATTGAGGAGCTCAAAACCCTTATCCGGGTTGACAACCCAAAGAAGGTGAAGCCCGCTCCAAAGCCCTTATAGTGCTAGTCTGAGTTATCCTCTCAACATCTCGCATGACCTTGTCCTGTGCTTGCTCGAAGCCATATGTGACGTGTTGTCAATAATCTGTGAATGCCAACATGGAATAGCTCTTCCCAGCAATGACGGCCTGTCGAGATTCCAGCGCCTCTCTTCCGCGTAGCCTGAGTCCAGTGAGCCGGAAGTTGGCTGGAGATGTCCATCGACTCCTCGCTCGCCATCGGTCAGCTACTAATCTTCGCCACTTCCTCTTCTCACCCGCGAGCATCGGTCATTTCACAGCTACTAGTATGGCAAATCCTTATGGGCATTCTACGGGAAATGACTCTCACTCAGCGGGGTCAGGAGGAGTCTCCAAAGATGAAGGGGTAACGGAACCTGAGAGGTCACTAGCCTCAGGTCAACCACAAACTAGGAAGGGTGCGGTGACGATATCTTCGCCTGCAACGGGACGAAGTTCAATAAATTCACCCGTTTCTCATGTAGCAATGTGGGGACCGAAAAGTAGGAGTCGACAGGAAACTAAGAATGATCGTGCGAAGGATCCATCCCTCCAGCCTGGGTCCAGTAACCTGTCGATTACAAGCACTGCATCTACTGGTTGTCAGCACGACCACGGCGAGGGAATATCTAATCCCGCGAGCAGTTCCAATTCCGAAATAGAGATGAAACCTTCAGAACAGTCGATAATGGTAAATGCTGAGTTAGAGACTCTTAAACGGGACCGCGATGAGTTAGAGCACCTCCGAATAGCTAACAGGGAGCTGTTAGTGGCCAACGACTACTTATTGCAAGAGCACGGACGCATAGTACAAGATTTGAGGAAAAGATTGAAGGATGCGCAGTCGGAGCTAGATAAATGGAATTTAGCTTATACTGCCTTACCCCACAGGTAACCGACGAAGACTTCCACTTTAGTGAGATATTCGCTCAGATTCATGCCGGCCGATTCCGAAGATCACGGCGCCTAGTATGTTTACATGGCATGATGGTGTTGAGGTCGTGCAACATGTTTGGTCTTTTGACTATAACCTACTCCCCGTTGTGTTCAAGTGGAGAGGGATATAATCGTGATGACTCCCTTGCTAGAGGAAGGGTATGATCGCCTACTAGTCGACGGGGAAAATATAGTTCAGACTAGTCATCTCGTGCTATGGGGGGGGGGGAGGTTGGGTGGGTTAACAGCTGCCCCCGTCACAAGTCAACAGAAGACTCAGAAGAAAAGCTTGATAAAGATACACATGTAATCCGATGATTGACAGAAATACTCTTTACGTTAGAGTGATGTTGTAACACATGTCCACAACCGAGACTGCCAAGGCATTGACCTCGATTGCATCATTCGTGTACTGATAATACTTATGGGACAAAGCGCACTATGAAGATCAGCTAACAGCAAGACCCTTCGCTCCAGGCGGCGGGGGCTTTGTGAACTCTTCTGGGATCTTCTCACTGAACGGATCGACCAAAACTTGGAGGAGCTCCCGAACCGGCGCGAAGTTGCCTTCCTCAGCGGCGTCGATGACCTTTTGCGCCAAATGATTCCGCAACACCACCTGGAACAAATAATAGAATCGTACTGATAACGCCCGACTGGAATCAGTGCGAATCGGCTGACTAGTGCTACTGACGGTTGCCCATGTCGCCACGTGAGATCCTATGAGGATATATAAGCGTGTCCCCGTACCTTTGGATTCACTCGATTCATATGATCAGAGCGGTCTTTATCAGATCTACGTCCAGTTTCTGCTATTAGTCTCCGAACATACGATTCCAACCATTTTGACCATGCCTCGCGATCTGATCATCCGAACGTATCCAAAACCGACGAGGCACCTCTCAGGTGTGTCCACCTGATTCACGCTTCGTGCTCTCGTCCATGTTCAAATACTGGCGCTTCTTGTCGAGTTCCTCTTCCCATCTCCGGAGAGCTCCTTCATCGATCCCATAGAGCGGCAGCGTTTGTGGATTCACCTGTAAACTCCTCAACAAAGAAACAGCAAGCATTCATACCAGTTTGAGTTGAGCCAGCACCTCGGGTCGCACAGGCACCTTGATGCGCGCTGCTAGCTCTTCGGGAACCAGGCACGACTCAACTACAGCGACGCCAACATGCGTCCTTGCACGAGTTCCTTCTCGCTCACTTATTCTCTCAATTGCATCCCCATAATCAGTATCGTCTCCATCGACTTTGACCGTAGAAAGCGCTCTAAGAGTATACTAATAACGCGAGAGGAACTGCGCTCGAGAGCCTCACCTAAAGGTATTGGTGAAGTCTGCAGCCGTATTCTCCATAGTGTCCAGAAGGCGTTCAACGAGGTCGCTGTCACCTTCGCGCTCCTCAACCAAGCCGAGCTTCATCGCCATCAAGCGCTTATACTCTTTCATGAAAACTCTCCCATACGTACTCCTCAGTATGTCCGTTGACTGATACATAATGCGATAGGTATGCATAAGGTCTAGCTACCAACGAAAGCGAAGCGCACCTTTTCAGGGTCAAGTATGGGCGCCAAGGCCTCAGCTAGTTTGGTGCAATTCCAGAGGCAAATCCTAGGTTGAGCCTCATAGGTGTATCGGCCTCCCCTGACACTTTTGAATGTGATCGACGAGCCAAAGAGCTCTTACGTGTCACTAGTGTTGCAGATGTAGTCTCTCTGGAAGGCTTCAACGAATCCATAAGGGCCATAATCAATAGTATCCCCCACGATCGACCTGATCGGGCAGACCAAAGTGCCACCATCAAGCAAGCGGATGATGCGCCTCCGATTTTCTCTGTTATCGTGTATGATAGCGGCATGTATCATGCCTCAATTGAAGTACTTGTATCGCTATCATTGGAGTTTCACCCGTTTAACGTGAATTGGTGTAATACTCGGTGAAAAACGCGATAATTGCGGGGCTATGCAGTAGTCGAGAAATATATTTTTCACTAGTGTTTTTCATATCACTAGAGTGAAGCTCCATTGTAACACAGTTGACTTCGTTGCAAGTGACACTGAGTGGTCAGAAGGGACATCAGAAGCAGCTTACATATTATCGGTATTCAGCACACCATGACAAAATCCAACGCATTGCCATTTTGCGACCAACTTCGCGGTCCTCTCGACTACAGCTTGGAAGAACTGCTCGCATCTGGCCTCGAGTAGAAAGTCAAAACGTCGATGAGTGTGATACTCACTTTTTCTCAACGGATGTCTCCTCTATGTCGGCGCACTCGGCCTCATAGTAGTTGTTGATAACGAAATCCACAAGCTTCTGTAGTAAAGCGGTGTCTCCAGCACTTGGACCACCACGGCCTATGAACAGCGAAATATGATTTCTCTCATGAGAAGAACAATTTTAATCACGGCACCTGTGATGGAGTCAGTCGATTTGAAGATCTCGAATGATCCAAATCTCAGGAAGGTTTCTGCCAGACGAACAACGACAGCAGTCGGCTCGAGCTTCGCATTGCCATCGTAACTGTAGTGAATCGCTTCTTGTCATATCTGGGGTCGACCCTACTTGATGTCTCTGATGACTTGGTCTTCAAAACTAACACTCACAGCAGCGGCGCGTGTCGTGGGAATGCCAAGTGCATGCATATGTTCACTGCAGAGGAACTCTCTGATGGTCGAGCGTAGGACCTCAGCACACTTAGCATGGCTCGGTCTCGGCTGATGAATACCCCTACCTTGCGGCCGTCGGCTGATCGAGAGAAAGGCGTTTTGCCCGACCCCTTCAGTTGGATCTCGATACCATTCACCTGAAAACATCATAAACAACGAGAGGAAAGCGAAGAGTATTCTTTTTCGCTACAGAATCAACCAGCACGAACTCAACTCGATCAGTAGCTACAGTGTGAACAACCAAACCGTTATTATGCAAAGTAATATTTTCAACACCTTCAATTTTCGAGAGTTCGAAAGTCAACTTTGAGTAATATCAACATGATAACAATGTGAATCGATTGATACCAACGTTTTAGAAGCGTTCCGTAGTCTATATTCGTATTACTCTCGAATTGAAGAAAGCCATCTCGAAAATCTAAATATGCATAACTGTTTGCTTCGCACTGTATATTGAAAAGCAAGAGTGCCACCAAAAGACCGACCTCGCCTAGGAGCATGGCAGCGCCGTCGCCGAGCTGCCCTGAGAAGTAACCGAATTGGTGACCACAGTAAACGTGTGCTGCTGGTCCCGGCGAGCCCGGTATTCGCCGCGAGCCGGAGATGTACCTATGCGGCAGTTCTCTCTCACATATAATAGAGCGCTCTTTGGTTGGAACAAATCTTCAGGCCTAGGAGGAAGACCAGAGGGACCCCGAGGCGGTCGTGAACCGAGTCACATTGAGCGAGAAGTGTGCCTTTTTGAGGCGAGTTGGCGGCGGCGCTCCCATGGCAGGACACGCAATCTCACTCAGCGAATGCCTCATCCAACTCGTCATAATCAATGCCATGGAAAACTCCCAGCAATCGGAATGCACTTGGCGAGATGCAAACCTACAGCGAAAGACGATTACGATTGCCGATAGAAGTGAACGTACAGTCTGAGGCTTCGACAAAGGCTGGAAGGGCACCGCGGCGTAGATGGCGTTGGGCACAGGCCTCGGCTGATTAGGCACTCCCTCGTGCAACTTTCTATCCACGGGTAGTTGCTCGAGTACTCGGCAAGTCGAGAACTCTAACCGCTCGAGTGCGCATGTTCTGGATTGGTACTGAAGACCACGCAGGACGATTGGACCGACGACGGCGTTGGCCTTGGGACCAGGAGGGCTTACCTCTGGCTGGGTCATGAGATATCTGAGGGGGACACCGGTCGTTGATAATTCGTTACACAATGTCCGAAATAGCTTCACAACGTGATGAGTTCCCTTTGTGAGGCCATACAAAAGGAGCATGGCACTGGGCGAGGGAGGCACTACTACGTCCAGTCGCTAAGACGACTACCGAGGAACAATATTGGAAGACCCAGAGATCCCTCACCAGTTGGATCAGAACACGCTAAGAACATAACGACCCAACATCGCAAGGCTCTATGGACTCAACAGTTGGAGATCCGTTAATACAATCGGAAAGTAACGCAATAAGGCACCCGTACGATGTCAATGCGCGAGCCATCATACAAGCGTCACAACAGCAGCATCAACAGCGTCGCATATTCGACAGAGTTATGGTATAACTCGAGGTGCTTGCATGTTGAGGAAAACTACTGTACGTGGTGTGGTCGTCCCAGCGATAGAAAAAAGATCTCCGAGGCGAACACAAATGAGTTGGTTCAAGTCCGCACTGGACTTGGGTGCTTCACAGCGCTGCATTCGCGAGTTCAACGAGACGCTAGAGTTATACAAGGCGAGCTTTGAATTTCACATCTGACGTGGTACGAAACCTTGACTGATCTCAGGCGACATTCGTTGCTCTTTGTCAAGCCGAGCTTGACTGTAAGCGTATCACCACTCCGGGAAGCTATCGTGTCACCCTTCCACCTCCGCTCGGATTCCGCAGCTGCATTGAAAAAAAAACGGGACCATTCAAATGACAAACCCTCGGTAGTTGTCTTCCATGCGTCCCTAATTCCAAGCCACTCCTGCTCGTAATTTTTCCTTACCTTCGCTATATTTTTTCTCAAGCAACTAAGCATCTTTTCCACGAAAAAACGAATCTCCTATTAATCTCACATCTTCATTTTTACGGAAGATGAAAAAGAACTAAAAAATCACCCTATCCATCTGATCACATAATGTTTCCAACACGAACGCGTCGCTATAATACTAAGAGGAACTATTGCAATCTAAATAACATGAGAACAATTGAAAACCTGCTCAACTCCAGATCACGTCCAGCAAATTTTTAGAGAAATGCCACCTGATCATCCTCGGGGTCAAGTCAGGAATAAGGGCGCTCTCTACCAGAGTCGCCAATGGTGATGCTAGCAACTTGAATGATTGCTCATCTCTCGCTCATTATATGATGTCTTAAGGGCCAATCACACAGTAAGGAGCATTCTAGTATTTGTGGCAGTGCGCGGCTTCAATAGTGTTCACGTGAATCTCATAATGGTCATGCAACTTTCTATGTAATTTTACCCCAAACATCCCATAAGGTGTTGATAAGAGCCAACCGCAATGAGCTCAAGCGGCACTTATGTTCTAATACTCATCGAAAACTCAACACTCAATTCTATTGGCATCGCGAGCAGACAGCAATAAGAAAAGTCACCATGCTATCACTCGTCACTTCCTGTCACTGTAGGTGAACTCAGGAATCTGAGGCTGGTGATGGCAATAGAGCACCAGTATACTAGCATGGAGTACACTGTCTGGATACGGTGGGATCGACACTTGCCCACGATGAGCCCCTAGGCCCGAGGGGGCTCTCTTGGGGCTCTCTCTACGGCTGTTAACTGATAACTACAATGTTCACAATACCGCTATAATTCTATCGACGCTACCTGTAGGAAACTGAGGACGGTGGTATCTGTGATTCGAGCCTGGCAAGGGGGAGAGGGGCTCCTCTTTGGGGTCAAAGAACTCCATGGCTTCAACGACCATCCTCTTCGTTTTACGCTCCAGATTGAATACCTACCATGTCACACTTAGTGCATCGGAATTCACTTCGCATCTCACCTTTTTTTCGGAATCAACAAGATAACCTTCTAATTCATCTAAGCGTTTCCCGAGGGCTTCCATCGATACTTGGACGGCCAGCAGGTCCTTCGACTGCGCCAGGCCCTACAACGCTGGACTCGAGCCAGGTCTAGGTGCCAGTCGGACCTTCATTCTCACACACCCACCAATGAACTCATCCACACTGAGCTCTCCCGAACCGTCATAATCCAACACCATGAATAGCTCCTCCGCGTCGGCCACTGGTAGATCTATCATCTTCATTTTCGATTCAACCTACCTGCCTCACGCTGGCGATTGTATTCAATAACAGAGTCTTTAAAAGCGCTCATCTGCTGAGTTGATGACCTCAGGATTCCGAATGGCCTGGCGAAACTCCTCAACAGTCAAACTGCCCGATTCGTCCTGAGAGTGGTATCGGACGGAGATGGGAGGGGTATTCACCTGGTCGGCCATTTTGAATATATCTCTCAAGTGAGCCAAGACTCGGGCCCTCTCCTTTTCCTGCTTCCTACGTATCTTATCATCATTCGTTCTGAGGTGAAGCTGAGGCATTCAAGGGTTGAGGCACTCTGGTCCGTACCGAGCAGTAGCAAGCGTGTCCTCCACGATGACCCCGACAACTAGATTCAAAAGGCCGAACGTAGTGATCACAATAAAGACGAAGAAAAAGACGACCATCAACGGCTCGTTGCTCACGACATGGCGAACGATGCCATCTGCCCAGTTCTCTAAGGTGATCATCTGAGGCATTCTGCGTTTGCAGCGCTTGGCTACTATCGCTTCTATGGACGCCAGGCGGTGTAACTTACTTGGAATAGAGTATACATACTTCTCAGTACTGTGCCGAAGTACTCCTTATGGTCCCATCCCCCAGATGATATCATGTACCTTACATGCAGCTTCAGAGACCCTCAGAACTTCATAAGGTGGGAATCTCAAAATCCGCCAAGGAGCACGTCAATGTGCATGCGTGCTGCATACATTTTCGAGGTCGGGCCCGGCCCGCGCTTCCGACAAGGAGCATGTGGCCGCAATGAGCAAGCCCTTTACCTACGGTCCGTAGGTAGCAGTATCTTGTCCAATTTGCAATGTGGTGAAAATAGCGCAAACGTAAAGAACAAGCAGTAGCAGTAGGGACACCCATCCTAGAGTCTTCAGAGAATCAACCACACCTGATGAAGAAAATCCATCCGATGTTGTAACAGGTCGAATTCGGGCACCCATAATGATGAGCCATAACTCCTTGAAGGGCCGGAGGAGGTGTGCCAGACGACCAAGACGGAGCAGGCGAACGACTCTGAATAGAAAGGAGCTCTCAACCTCTTCAATGGGAAGGTACACCATACTATAGATATACGCTTATAAATCTTTCATAAACTATGATGAAAAATATAATAAATAATAGTAAATACAACTTATGAAAGATCACAAAATAGTGCTCTTTTGTATAAGATTATAAAAGATAAACAAATACAATGGATAAAATTATAAAATAACCATACGATGGAGTTTCATCCGTGATATGAAAAACATATTTCACGACTACAGTGCGTGCCGATTTGATATGCAAATGCGATAAATGCGCGTTTTGTCTTGAAATTAATGATAATCGCTCTGATACTTCGCACATACAATGTAAACATTGCTACAAACATATACTATGAGAAACGTAATTGATTGAAGCCGTGATAGAGAAAAAATATCCATTATGTCAACTCGCGCTCGCTGTACTGTGTAGCGCGAATATAGAGCTTTTCACCGAGTTTTACGCCACTTCACGTAAAACGGGTGCAACTCCAATACATTAGATGAAATATCTAGTTGGATAAGAAGCGTATTATAATTTATAATACGTTCTAGATCTTTCATATGATGGTTTATATTATATTCATACAGAATAGGCGAACAAAACCATGAGGCCGTATAACGCTACGAGGTCTCACCTCAACAAGGTCAGCACGCGGGAGTTGGTAGTGCTGCTGCCAATTGGGGATAGGATCCACGTCTCGAGTATACCAGAAGCTACTATGATAGAGTCTAGGGTGTTCCATGAATCCTGATGATGAAGAACAAGGAGTCTACAATGAACCGTCGACTCGTATCAGACTCGGAAGTAAGAGCGTCCATGTTGACGCATACGTGCAGCAATTTCGATACAGAAGATGATAAGGAAGATGTTCTCGACCGCGTACCATCCTGGACGGTCCTGAGATGTGATTTCGATGAGGCTTCTAACGCTGTAGGGGCTTCTATACTTTGATGGCTGCGGTGAAGTCTCCGAGGTCAATCTCAAGACCGATAAAAATGACGTTGGAGCATATTATTGCTGCGATGAGGAGGTTGAATCTGCTGATTGAGATTGACCATAATATTGAAGACCACCACCTCATCGAGTCGATGAAGTGTTCGGTTTTCGTCAAGACTGTATTGTCGTGTCCAAAATCATCATGACTTTCCCTTACAACGGAATGTGCAGATTTGTATCTACCATCTGGAATTACACGAGTGCATGAACCGTCAATGAGAATAGCAGTTCCATCAGGCATTGCGGTTTTTTCTAGGATGTGACTGACTATAATCTTTGTCGTGATAGAAGGCAGTGCACCATGCTTCGCCCATGCTTGAAGATCGCGCTTGTGGCTGCCGCTTTAAAATGCCCTGTGCTACTATTCACGCTTGTTCATGCTCAGCAAAGGAGTGCCGCCCCACTCATTCACGTTTATCGACGTGTCACGAATACGAGTCTGAGCTCACGTTAATTTTCTTAGAGATGCTACTCGGCTTTGAACCCAACGAGCCTTTGCAGTCGGGTAGTGATGGTTTCTACTGCGTTTCCTAATCTAAGGCAAAGACTAACTTGATGTAAATCTCTGTATCATATGGCCAGTCCCCCCTGCGGATCGGGTAGTCACCGAGAGTAATTACGATGCTGCGATACTCTCCTCGGTGAAGCAATGAGCCTATTAACTAACTCTTCCTTAGACATTCTATCATTCATTCGCCCGTTTTGGTTTCGGCTCCAGTCCGGACCCTTTGGAATCATCGCATCCGTCTAGGTGGTGAATAGAGATTGCCCGATCTGACTCAACCTACTTTTTCAGCAAATCTTGCACGTCGAGCTCATCCTCCATCACAGCCATACGAGAAGAACAATTACACCTTTTAAGTAGCTCATAATTATAACTACCAATTTTCGCGCAGATGAGGGAGTTTGGACGTACGAAGGTTGAACGAACATAGCAATTTCGTCCACAAAATTCTCAATTTCGAGCTTCCAACTGGAACGACTAGAACTCTCAATATTTCGCGATCTGGACTTCATTCCATGCCTCACGATGATTCAAACGATCTTGAGCAGTGGCAGGTGCTAACCATCGAGCCGACGGTGTATCCCCATTGTAGTGCATCTCCCGGCTTAGGGAGAGGGTTGTACCTTATTACCTCACGCGAAAAATGTTAGTTAAAAAACCCAGAGGCGGGAGTGTTGTGACAACACTGTTGCCATGGGCTGCAGCGGACGCGAAATGCGACGTCAATGGCCAGGAAATGTGATACGTTGCACATGTGCATTCCTTCTGTACACGTTTCTACTGAAGCTACGTTTTTATGTTCTCTTGAATACATGGACTAATGGCAGCGTAGTTCCAACGCGGGGTGAAATAGAAGGATGCAGTCCACTTGATTCACAAACGGGACAAAGGCTTGAGATTCCTCACATATATCCTTCCAAACAAGCTCAAACGGCTGTCGGACTCCTTGACGAGGACTCTCTGACCACCTTCAAACCACGTGACTGGCCGTTGAAATGCTGTACGAAAGGAGTTGGGGCGAGCGCTATATTAAAATACGTTCTCGCTCGCCCAGCTTAATATAGCGTAGAGGGTGTACTATCGATCGGATACTGCGACTCGCAACTTATATCGGGTTGCTCTTTTAATGTTGCAAGCGTCAATCACCTTGAATCCTGTCTTCTACAGTGGTGGTGATTCTTAAACAGTGGCGCGAAATCGTTCCCGCTGGAATTACAGTGGTCTGAGCTCCCAGTGCTCAGGGCATCCGGTTACCATCGAGACAATCCAACTGATGATGCACTGATAGCTTGTTTGGGTCCTGTGTGCTATTAAATGCTCTTGACTCATTTCCCAGTGCGATAACTATCACCGAGAGAGTTAGCTGAACGATCGTTGGAGGCTTTGGTCTCAATAGTACGATGTCCAGTGTTACAACTCGGCCACATTCCCAACTGAGCATTAGCATAAGTTCGTTTCGGGTGAAAGTAGAACAGCGCGGAGACAACTAGTGATTAGTTCCAGACTATGTGTACGGGGTCGCCGACGCAAAGCTTGAGGTGGATGCAGCTCGGTAAAACATACCTTTGCTGAGAGGCTCCAGCACTGGCCCGAGTTGAATGAACTTCTCGTCGGCCGGAGTGCCTTTGTAGTTTGCTCTGCGATGCTCGTCACGAAGACTTTTACTCGAAGAGGATCAGGTTACTGCTGAGATGGCATACTTCGATCTCATAGAGTTTCACAAAAGTCTCATCGCTTATAATCATAGGCAAAATTGGGTAAAAGAAAAAGCAAACTTAACCGGTCCAAATCCGCACACAAGTTCACATAACACGAGGCGACACCACTTGAAAGGGACAACAGTCTATTCTCTCAAACGAGAGACATGAATCTTCCATGGATTCAGGGCTTGAGGCGTCAGCTTGTCGAACTTGTCACTTCTTCGTCTTCTGGTAGCCTCATGAGCCTGCCTCTCCAAGACCAGAGCTCGACGGAGTTGTCCGAGCCTGAAGATTCCAAGCTGCTTCTCGTAGGGAGGGGTTGAACTCAGCACTCTCTATTGGCTTCAGCCAAGGTTCTGCGAAGTTCCTTCAAATCCTCTGCGTCATTGCAGCTGTCAGCTTTGACAGGCGCTGATGCTCGTCGAGCAGCTGTCTTAACAGCATGTAACACTGCGGGATCTGGCAAGCCAACGTTATGACCGCAGACATTCAAACTAACCTTGAACAGCGTCCCGGTCAGTTTTGGTTTCTCGTCGGGTGCGCACAGCCCGAGCAGCGGTGGCGGCTCGCAACTGGGTCCTAATCCGCAAGTCCGTGGTTGGTCACTAATATCAGCAATCTACAGTCGTTCAATCAGTCGGGACTTCTCCTTCGTCAACGTGGCGATTTTCACATCCTTCTGCTGGTTCAACTTCCTTAATATCTCAGAGTCTTTGCTCGCCTTCTCGAATGTTTTCTGAATATCGAGAATACGTTCGAATGACTCGGCCTCAGGGAACTGAAGCACCGCGTTGTGAATGGTGGGAAAATATGCACATGGTCAACTACATGCGTCGTTGACAATATGAGAATTCTGAGGAAATTCTCATTGGTTTCTGAACACATCTTCCCGAATTCGTAAACAAACTCCTATAATTGGGGAGGAAGCTGCTGAGGTCAGCTGGAGAAATCCAACATGAATTCCAACACTGAAAGACATCAATGCAGAATGAAGTCAATATCGCCCTCAGTCGAACCTTCTGAGCTTCCAAGCTGTCGGTGAGCTGGGCAACCTGCTCATCTCGAGCAGCGAGATCTCTTGCTAGCTTCTCAGCAACTTCGTCACTGTGAGATTTCACCTCGTGTAGTTCCTGTTATTCAAGCAAGTTAGCTAGTAGTGCCAAATCGTTATCACCCCAAGCTCGCGATCCTTGTTCATGATCAAACTTTTCAACTCCTGGCATTCGGCCTTCAAGTCGTGCAGCTCATGGGTTGTTCTTTCTAGTCGATCTGTGATGCTCCTATGGGCCTCACTCATCTCATGTAGCGCATTTTCCTTCTCCTCAACCTCGGTGGTTCGAGCTTCTACTTGAGCCGACAAGCTTGACTTATCGGAGCGGGCCTCTGCCAACTCTCGCTCCAGTCTGATCAAGTAAACTAAACCTTGTATTCATTCGTCTAGAGGTCTCATCGTAGAAAAGTTTTCGAGATCGCTTCGCTACTCTGCGCATCTTCGACTTGCGGCAGCGATCCCGTCTCTGAGACGATCGTTCTCAACCTTCAAATCTGCCCACTTCCCACCGAGGATGACCGACATTCACTATGTCGATAAATGCGATGATACTGCGTCCGTACAGTGCGGTGTTGGAGGTATATATGTACGCTTTTCTCAGCTGAGTTCAGGAGTTTCCTCACCAATTGTAGGAGTTCATATACAACATCGGATAGAAGCGTACAGAAACCAAGAAGAATTTCCTCAGAGTTTTCATATTCTTCCGACACATGTAGTAGACCATGTGCATACTTCCAAACACTGGTACAGTGTCATCCGAAATACCTTCCATCAGCCCGAAGTTACTTGCCAACACAATAGGATGGTGAATCACGAAAAGGAAGTGTGAAAAGCTCCTGTGTGGAACCTCGACTTCATAGCTTTATTTCCCTCGATCATTCTAGCTAGATCATCTTTTCCTCGTCCAAACTTGGATCCCTGCAAGTCCGTTGTCGGATCGAACATCTTCCGACCGCTCGCTGTCACCGTGCTTTCTGATCGCCCCGGCATCCCCGCGGTAGCCGCGCCTAAAACGCCACGTGAGGTCTGCCAGAGTTCAAACAAGTCATACTGAACATTCCGCTGTTGATCAAAGCATCATCATCTTTCCCTTCTAGCCTCTTCTGCCGCAACGTCTCCTCCCTGCGCTGGGCAGAGGCGTTCTTCCCCCACAGATCCACCTTGCCCGACCCTGAGATCACCAAGCACTGTGGAGATGACCCTTCCGCAACTATTCAAATAACTAAGCCTCAAGTCGCCCGTGTTTGGAAATATGCACATGGCCGACCACAGGTGTTGGTGACAATATGAAAACTCTGAGAAAATTTTGCGAGATTCTTGTTCACTCATACCGAATTTGCATAGGAACTTCCAAGTGAGGAAATTTCAGAACTCAGTCGAAGAAAGCCATCATATTTTCCAATACTGCAAGCCACTCACTCAATTTCCGCAGTTGCGCAACTTGCTCCTTCTTGTCGAACTGCCCTTCAGAGTAAATCTCCATCAGAGACTTTCCTCCATACCTGACCACGGTATACTCCCTCAAACAAGCGAGTGATCATCGAGACTAATAGGAACATGACGTAACAACTACTATTCTATTCTAGCGGTACGATTGTATTCCCGAAATTGAGAAAACCCATTATAAACAAACCCCATTCATGTAAGCGGGACTGCTATAGGGACCTCTCTACACGTCTTCAATCTCAAAGTCAGCAAATAAAAAAAATTAAAAACTGTCTCTACGAGAATCAAATTCCATTTTTTCAATTGATTGAAAAGCTGTAGTATTGCGCCCTACTTAGCCTGATTGTACTCCTCCACCTCCCTCCTGGCCTCTTCCTCCTCAGCGATCTCCTTGGCAGATTTCTGCCGTTTCGCCGCCTTCTCTGCTTTCGCCTTCAGCTCCTCCTTCGACGCCCAAATGTCCTTCATACCCTCAGGGCAATCGGTCATCCAAGAGGCCCGCTTACTACCACGATCGCTCCCCGGTAGATCAGGACCTGAAATGCATCCTTCACAACGCACTCGTCCAGCAGAACAGATTCATAAACTCGACAAAACTCGAGAATCAAACTGTCTGCCGGTCCGAGACTCAGAATTGATCTCCTAACTACTTTTCTCCTAGAAAAAACTTCGCGGAGTCGAATCAGAAATAGACAACCGAAAATCTCCATGAACACTACTCATCCTCCATCCCAGGTGGGCTTTGGTGGCGTTGCTGTTGGAAAATTTCGTGTCACCAACTGAGGTTGTCCGATAGTATCAAATACCGAGATAGTGAACAAATATATTCTATATGATTTTCTTATTGCTCACACTCTAAATAGGGTGTTATCCACTCAGCGCCTGCGTGCAAGCTAGGACAGAACGTGTGGTCTTGTACGGCAGAAAGGATTGTCGAGCCCTCCCCTTTCTTCCTTTGCAGGACCATCAGTAGCGCGCTAGACTGTAGCGAGTGTACGACTTTCAAGCGAACGAAAAAACAAGCTCATTTTCCGCATGTGACCTCTCTAGACCGCTGTTCTCATTTCATGAGAACTCCCCCATATCCGTGTCCATATTACCGGGCATCATCCGCGGCGCTCTCTCCTCTCCCTCTGGCAGCGGGCCCAGCTCATCTTCCTCATCCACACGAGCCACCATCACTGCTTGCTCTTGCCGAGACCATGGTAGCTGCGGTCCCGGGGGCGCTGTCTCCTCCAGCGGCTAAAAATGTGACATTCTCCCTAGCGAAGCGAAGCATGCAGCCGATACCGCGTAACCATATATCATCACATGCAAACTCCAACTGGTCGTCGCCGCTATGTCCACATGCTATTACCTTTACCGTTAATACCTCAACTTTCTCCTGCGTCACGTTCAGCTCCTTCTCAGGGACCTCACGGCTTCTCTGTTTTTCATCTGCCAGCACCTGAGCCTTCTTCACGCACTTCTTGAAGTGCCGCCTATGAGAAAGCGATT